AAGAATGTCTGCCAGGCTTTGGGGAGGAAGTGTTTGGGGCAGGCGGCAGTGGAGGGGTGGGTGAGCAGTAGGCAGGCACTCTTATGTTATGAGATGAGAACGAAGTTAGGGGTTCGGCTCAGCGGAGGCAGCAAGAGGAGAAGAGGAAATGAGGGGAGAGGAGGAGAATACATGGAAGAAGGGGAGGGGTGGAGAGAAATAATCATCAGTGTCGTCATCATTATCCATCATCTTTGTGATCATCTCAGGGTACTCGCCAAATTTTATCAAATTTCATCATCAGAAAGTTTTGCTGATCAATATTCTGATATTATCAGATCCTTGATTTCTGGTTGGCATTCTGGATTAGCTAATTTCCTAATTGAGTCCTCTTGTGTAATGGCCAGGTTGAGTTGGCGCCAGAACGACGCTAGCCGGCGATGGGGCAGTGCCTTGTAACCTGCTTGTGTAGGAGCTTGAGGCTTTGTATAGAGGTCTGGAATTGCCGAGGGAGGAAGGCAATCTGCAAACTTGACTAATGGCTACAATCTGGCCAACGATGGTCGGAGCTGGGGTGGTTAGCGCTGCCCTGTAACCGAACCAGATTGGGGTGTGAGACCGGGAAGTGGCCTGATTGGTGCACAGCACGGGCTCAATTGTGATTGGTTGTTTGGAATGGATACAGGGAATTAGGGATAGGATAGTAATTCAGTGCTGAGTAGACAATCTTTCTGATTAGTCATCATCTAGCTCTATTTCAAGATCTCAATCACCCACTCTGACATCCTAAATCATCCAAAATGATCCTCAATCATCCTAAATTTTCATCAATTGTCAATCATTAATGTATTTCCATTATAAGGGACGCTGGGCCCGGTTCCCAGCACGTGAAAAAAGGGTGAAGGTATGGGACGTCGAAACAGTGGAAGGGTCTTCGTTGCCATGAGGGTTCTGTCCTCCTCCATGGCTTCCACTGAATGCTGAGCCTGGTGTCAAGCTCAGAAAAGTGTGGTGAGGGTCCTGCCAGAGCTGGCGATAGGCCTCTCGGATGTTGTCCTTCACAATGGGGTCCTTTTCCTCCCTGTAATCCCTTATAAAGGATTTCCAGGCTTCGTGTGTACGAGACCTAATCACCTCCTCAATTGATTGCTGGGCTTGCTGCAGTCCAAATTGATGGTCTCTTCTTTCAAAGGAACATCAACTCCAATGGCCATATGCCCAACAATCATTTTATATTACAAAGTTGTATCCAAGGGACGCTGGACCCGTTTTCCAGCAAGTGTTGCTCCCCACCGATAGATGGAGCCTCCCTGGTGGCGCTAGAAGTGTCTGCTCTTATCAACACTCCTAGCATCCGCTCAGGTTGTTTTTCAAAAAAAAAAAAAAAAAAAAAGAACATGCAGCCTCGTATAAGAGAATAGGTTAGTAGCGAAGGGGGACCATTCTGCCAGCAACCGTTGGTTCTTGCCCAACAGCAGGAGCCCCAGGTCACATGGGATGTGCACTCCCGTGAGGTCGTGGAAGGCAGCATCCCACCACTGCCACAATTGGGTAACCATAGGGGACGCCAGCAGGCAGTGTTCTAGTGTTGCCCGGGCCGGTGGTGTCGACCTGCTGCAAAAAGTGCAGATAGGAGACAAAAACCCTTTCTGCTCAAGGTCTGTTATTGTGGCGGACGCACCGGGTGAGGTGCTCCGCCTGGGATAGAGATGGAGATGGAGGATGAGGGTGGAGCAAGATGGCACAACGCAGCTCCCACGCAGACTTCAACGCACATACTCCGAACTGTGTGAATGTAGAATGTCCCAAAGTATAGACTCTGGCTGGGGTATACCCCAGCGAACTAATTGGACTGGACTGAACTGGCTGGTATCGACAGAGGTACCGGCCTGGACTGGACTACCCCGAATACAACACGAGCCTGTGAGAACAGGCCAAAAACCTATCTCAAATACCAACCAGAGGTCCGCTACACGATCCTCGGCCTGTGATGGATCGCCTAGATACAAGCACGCCTCCGCCAAGAAGCGGAACTCTACCTCTACCAAAGAAAAAGAAAATCCGAGAAGTCTAGGATGCGGAGTAAGCTCCATGCTGAGTCTATGCGATGCAACCAAGGATAGAAAATGTCACAAAAACAACAATGTCACAACTAACCGCCTAAGTGAAAGCAGAAAGTACTGATAACTAAATCCTAGAATGTTGGATGCAGAGGCTTCAGTCTGATAGCAACAAAGCAACAACAAGACAACCATATGTCACAGGAGGAGTGTGTTGCAAACCACAGGGTGGGATGGTCTCTGAGGGTGGCGAATGCAGCCTGGGGGTCCATAAACTCCTAAGAGCATCCACACATAATGACAGGGAGACACATGTCATCAGGCTCAATGAGGGTAGGGAACTGGGAGCGAACAAAACCAATGACCCTAACAGATAGACCATCAGGGCGGGTAATGCTCGACTAAAGGGGTGACCGCTATGTAGGGTCGACCATGCAAGGGAATCAGGGAGCCTGGTATATTGGGCGCACCTAGATGAAGCATGCAAGGCTGCCTAACTACATTTTTAACCCCCCCAAAAACTACGTACGTTGTATACGAATACAATATACGAGGTATGTTGTATTCGAATACAGTGTACGTATGTTATATAACGAGTTTTATGGTACAACTTTTCAAAAATCTATAGTACCGCTATTGTTTTGTTTTTTATCTCGAATTTGGTTAGGAATTTCGCTAGGACCCTCTGACAAAAGTTGTTCGCGTGATAATTTTGTACAACATACTTTTTTTTCGGATTTTTTAATGAAGTTTTTTTTAAATCGAAGTTCTGAAAAAATCAGTGGAAAAAAAAAAGAAAAAAAAAAAAAACCTTCCGTAAAAAATATTTTTATCCTTGTTTTCCCCCCCCCCTTGAATTTGGTTGTGAATTTCGCCAAGACCCTCAGACAAAAGTTGTTTGTATTGCATTGTTGTACAACATTTGATTTTTTCACATTTTTCTGAATATTTTTAAAAAAGTAAAATCGTAAAAATTTAAATACAACATACATACGCTGTATTCGAATACAACGTACGTACATTGTATTTGTCCGTACGGTCTGTTAGGAAAAAAAAAAGTGATTTCTAAAAGTTAGATTTTTTTTTTAATTCGAATAAAAAGTACGTACGTTTTTTGGGGGTTAAGAAGGTATGGCAAAAGGACCGACAAAGGGTAAGAAAGTGATGGGTAAGGGTATCATGCAAATGACTCCTAAAGTGAGGGAAGCCGGAGCTAGATCCGTAAGCTGGGAAGGCAGGGCAACGCTACGGTCCTGATGCCTATGCGTATACCAAGGGAGAGCCTAACTCAGAGGAACCCAGCGAAGGGAGACCATCATGCAACACAACCAGGGTACTGTACATGATAAGGTGGTAAGAGAGTGACGACGTCTGAAGTAGGCAGAGCTGATCGTGACGAAGGTCGTGAAGTTGCCGATGACGTCCATGATGAGAAGTCCAGAATGCCGTCGAGGAAGAGCCACAACGTCGACGAGCTGAAGTAGCAAAACTGGAGTTGATGGAATGTTGCGAAGTTAAAGACGTGGGAAGATAAGTCAGAGTCAATCGTTGTATCGGGCATGACGACGACGAGTGCGCTGTGGACGCTCAGAAGCATCCGGCTGTTGCTGAAGGTCTGCCTCAGATGGAGCACGCTCGACTTCAGCGGTCTCCTCAGCCGAGAGAGAAGGAAGAGGGTCAGTGGGCTGAGGAGGAACAGTCAACCCAGCATGACGAGCGCGGTTATAACCACACACCAA